ACTTATATTCAAAAGAATCAAATTTAAAATTAGAATTATTTGAACAAACAGCAAAAAACAATGAATATGAAGAAGAAATCATGACATTTACTGAATTAATAAATCATAAAAGTTTTAAAGAAGAATTTTATGATATTATTAATGGAAGAATAATTTTATATGAAATTGTTATTGTCAAAGAAGAAAATAAAATTAAAAAAGTAAAGGGGAAAGAGATTGATTTTACTAAAAGAAGAGAAAATCAAATGGATTGGGAACGATCAGATACTGACTATGTTTATTATGATTCAAATAAACCTATTGAAAAATATTTTAATACGGATAAAGTTAAAGTATATACCGAAACTGTGTTGAAACAAGCTGAAGAAGAAACAAGATCATTAGTAAAGAATTTTGTTGCACGAATGAAAATGATGAATATAGAAGTTCCAAAACCACGACTTGAATATTATGTATTGTATATTCATGGTATTAAAGAAGTATACAAAAGAATGATATTAGTAGATAAATTTAATCCTAAAGAACATAGAATTGATAAATATCATTATTTAAAAGATATTAAATCATTTTTATCTGTTTGTATGAAATGTTCTGAGAAAAAAACTGAAGAATGGTTAGTTAATGTTATTAACGAGAATACAAACAAATCTTTATTTGAAAAAAGTAAATCTTATAAAGATAATAGATATAAACCTTATAAAATATTAGATATAAAAAATAGAAAAAAAATTATATATCCTAAAATCACTAATTTTTTTAAATCGAATAGTAAAGATGATGATCCATTTGTTTAATATAATAAAATTATTTATTATCTATATTAATATTATCAAAATCTAAACTTAATAAATTATCATTATTAATCGAAATTGATGTGAAATAATCATCTATAGTATTTGAATTCTTATTATTTGAATAATATGAAATAATATCATTATCAATATTATTAATAAGATTATAAACAGTTGTGTGAATGTGATCAACAATCTTTTTCATATTATATTCTAATATACCGATTTTAAGAGTACTAAAATTATTAATAGTAACTTGTTCAGTTTTTAATTTAGTAATTTCATTTTGTAAATCAATAATAATTTTATCATTATTTAAATCTTTAGTTATTTTTTCCAAATTATCTATTTTATCATCTTTCTCTTTACATTTTTCATTTAATTCAGTTATTATTGATTCCAAATCTTTTATTTTTCCTTCCTTTTCTTCAATTAAACGATCAAGTGATTTTTTAAGTTCATTAATATCGTTTTTATCAGTATTTAATTTTTTTACTGATGTTTTTTTACCTTTATTATATAAAAGTTAATAATTATTTTTTTAATATATTAAAATATATTATTAAAAATTACCATCATTCTTTTTACTAAGATTTAATTATTAAAAAATAATTAATAATAGCTAATACAAAAGAATTGAATAAATAATATTACCGTTTTTTATTTAATAAAAGATTATTTTCTTCATCAATGGTGGTTTTGTTTTCTGATTCTTGCATTTTAATTAAAAGAAAAAAATGAAAAGATATTAGTATAAATAAAAATATTAGATTAATAATACATGATTGATTTATAATTTTATTAATAATTAAGTTAATTATTTAAATGATTGATTTTAGTTCAAATTCAATTATCAAAAAAAAATGGAATCAAATAAATACGAAAAATCAATTAAAGCTGAAAACTTTTATCTTTGTCAGGAAACAGGAGAAATCTGCGAAAGACAACAAAGAAATGGTGAATTAACATATTCATCATATATAAACCAAGATTCTGTTAACGAAGATGCAAAAATTATTAAAGATTTTAATAGAAATGTTGATATTAAAAGAAAAAAACTTGAAATAATTGATATATTTTTTAATACGACACAGATTAAACAAAAAGATATATCGAAAATATATGTTATTGCTGGATCTGAAAAAGAAGAAACGATTAAACAAATGAGTTTTGATAATAATAATAGTTTTGAATCAATGTTAGAATTATTACAAATTATTATTGAGAAAGATAAATATAAAGGAAAATGTCTTAACATTATATCTAAAAATAATATATTTAGGTATATGGTTAAATATAAAATTTATCAGTGGATAGAAACAGATTGTAAAGTAGGTATTAGTATAGTTGATATTAATGATAATAATAATAATAATGAAGATTATAATATTGATGATTTAGAAGATATAAAATACGCATCTATTATTAGAAAATTAGATTCAGGTATGAAAAAAAATAATATAATGGTAACTAGTAAAGATAATATCAAAAATCGTAGAAAAATAGATCATATTTTCAAAAAGTTAAAACCAAAGATTATCAAAAGTCAAATTAGATAATTAATTTATATTTTTTTTTATTTTTAAATTTTATTTTTATTTTTATTTTTATTTATAATCTATTTATAAAATTTTAATTATAATATATTTTAATAAAAAATTGTTAAAAATAACCAAAAAAACTTTAATTTTTGTATTTAAAATTACGTAATACATTATTCTCTTTTGAAAAAGTTTGGTAAATTAAGAAAAGATGAAGATCTAGATCCACTTGGTGTAATATTCATTTCTGGTATTAATTCTATATTTCTATTTATTGGATCATCATCATCATCAACAGATATATTTATTTCTTCACTAATTGATGTTTCTTCATTAATTGGTGAAACAGTTCTTATTCGTACATTCCTTGATCCTTCTTCTTGTCTTTCTTGTATTCTTCTATTTGATTCTGCAGTGTAAGTATCTGGATCAAATATAAATTAAATTTCTTTTCTTTCATTTACAAAATCATAAGTTACATCTGAAAATAAACTATTTGTTGTCGAACTTCTTGTAATTCCTTGTGTTCTTTCTATTGTTTCATCTATACCAGGAGCTGTGCATTTACCTAAACTTTTTTCGGTTCTGTATGTTATACTACCACTACTCTCTGGATTATATTGAGCTTCACCTAAAGAACTTCCAGATTGGGAATGTATTTGCAAACCACCCATTATATTTCCTGTTGTTATTTGTCTAACAGGCCTTCTTTGTGATCTAAAATTTATAGCTCTTCTATGATTGATTGATATTCTTTTAGGTTGATGAGATCCAATAAATCTTTGTATCATTTCTCTTTGATGAGCATTGAGTTGTTCAGTTATGAAATTTTGAATATTAGTTCTGAAATTATTAAACATTTGTTCCAAAATTATTATCTTCATTCATTCTTAATATGTTTTGTAGATTTGTAATTATATTATCTTGTGTTGTTATATGTAAATTATGTAAATCCAAATCATTTTGTATGTTTTCTAACCTAATACCAAGATTTAAATTGTTAAGTCTTTGTTCTAAAGCATTAATAGATTTACCAATATTTTGATTTGAATTATGAATATTTTCTAATCGTTCATTTGTTATTTGACCTATTTGTTCAATCTGTGTTCCTAAATCATTAAATCCATTATTTGTAGTTTGACGTATTTCATTTAATCTATTATTAATATTATTTTCATTTCTATCAAATCTTTGGTTGAAATTTGTTAATCTTGTATCAATTTGTTTACCAATATTATTAAAATTATTATTCATATTTTGTTCTAAATTATTAAATCTATTATTTATACCATCAATATTAACCTTAATACGATTAATACCATTATTAAGGTTTTGTTTATGATTATCAAATCTACTAGCTATATTAATCATTCTTTGATTTAAATTATTAAAACGATTAAATATATATTCATTTGTTTTAGCATTTTGATTTTGTATATTTTGGTTTATTCGATTTGATTGTCTAATTAATAAATTAAATAGATTATTGTCACGTGTTTGAAGTTGATTCTGCAAATTTTGAAATTGATTTTGCAAATTTTGAATGGGTATAATATTTCCATTTCCATCATTATTTCCATTATTTCCACCGTTATTATTTGGAGGTCTTGGTGGTAAAGGAGGTGGTCCTAATGGAGGTCTAGGAGGTATAGGAGGTGGTGCACCAATACCATTATTAGGAGGTATGTTATTTTCAGCATGCCATAATCTCAATTCTCTCGATGATCTTATTAAACGAGGATCCAAACAAGGTCTAATTCTACCATTTTGAAATGGGCATCGTGGATCATTATGATTATGATTTTCCTGACCGCAACAACCACACGCAGCAATATAATTTGGTATTCTAGGTCTTCTTGGTATTCTTGGTGTTTTAGGAACATTATTAATAAAAAAATAAGGTTGTGGAACATATTGTGAAACTGGAACATACTGAGGAAAGTAATTATGAGAAAAAAATTGATGTTGGTTAAATGGTAGATAATGATAATAAAAATATTGACATTTTACATGTGATAATAATAAAAAATAAAATAATATCTTTATTGAATACATTAAAAAGTTAAAAGATTTCGTTGTGATAAAATATTTCCTGGGAGAGAAGGCATTAAAAAATTTTGTCGTGGAATATTTTGTTGTGGCAACATGAATTGAGGAATAAGTTTTCTTTCCATTCCAAATTTCTTTTTAAATTTATCTACACCTTCTTTAATTGTATTTAATTGTGCAGCAGCAATACAATTAGCAGCACCTACACCAGCTCCACCAGCATTATATACTTGACAATGTCGTTGACTATGACCAATAACACCACAACAACTACAAACACTAAGTTTTAATGTAGGGTTTTCAAAATATTTTTTTACAGATTTTCTTATTCTATCTACATTTGCAACAACTCTTGGTGCTCTATGAGGACATCGTCTAGAAGTATGACCTAAAGCACCACATCTTCCACAAGCTCTTCCTAATGCAGGACGTGTTCTAACTACCATATGTGTTACCCAAGGAACTTTCCAATTATCCATAATATTAAATTTATTATTGGACAATACCATTCCTCTTTGAGGTATCAAAGCATTATTTTGAGCATATGGTATCATCGCACCTGCAAGATTATTAACAGAATTTCTATAGGGTATCATCGCACCGAATTGATTAGGACATGTTCTTCGATTATGACCACGTAAACCACATATTGCACATGCAGCATTTATTCCATTTATTAATAAATTTAATATTAAGAAAATTAATAGAAATTTTTGAAAATTTTTCCTGGACATCTTTTATTTGATGCTATATGAGAATTACTTCCACAAATTCCACAATGACGTGTATTTTGATTTGAATGAAGTCTAGGACAAGGTTTTTTTGTACATGAAATAATATTATGTCCTTTCAATCCACAACACCCACAAGCAGAAAATGTGTTATTTATTAATAGTGATAATAACAATAAAGAAAATAAAATTATAAACTTCATATTTAAAAATTAAAAAAAATAAAGGATTCTTTATATAATTTATATTATTTTATCTTTGATTATTTCTACTATTTTTTTAAATTCATTATCGAAAAACAATTTCATTTTCATTTTTTCATTTTTATCATCTTCTCTTTTATTTCTAGTTATTTTTTCTCTTGTATGTAGATATCAGAGATCGACTTCATCGATTTATACATCTCTTCTTCATTATTTACTATTTTGGTATTTTTAATATAAAAATTTGTATGTATATATTCTAAAAAATCATGTAAGTCTTCCTTTACATCATTGTCAATATCTAATTTTATTCGTTTTTGCCATATACCAAACTGTATTTTATTATTTATTTTTCTTTTTCTATAAGACATTTATAGAAATTTAGAAATTATTATATGTGCTTTTATAATTTTTAAACCATCAACCAAAGTATCGATTTTTTCATTTATTTCAAGATTTTTTAATATTTCTTTACAAGAGTCTAATGCACCATCAATTATTTCTTCATATTCTTGTCTTAATTGTGTTTGGTCATTAAGATTTTGTGTCAATTGTGTTATTTGATTATCATTATGAGTATTTCCTTTGATTAATATTGAAATATCATTATGTAAACGTGTGAAAACACCGGATTTTTTATAATTTTTACTTTTTTCTAACCATATTTCTATTTCCTTTATACGTTCAGATGTTAACATTTCAATTTCTTCTTCTTCAACACTTTCTTCATCCTCTTTAATTTGTTTTTGTTTAGGCATTTTTAAAATTTTCTAAATATTTTTTTCTAAGATTTTGTAAAACAGAGGTTTTATATTCTTCTTTTAATAAATAAACATTGTTTAATAAATTTATTTCATTATCATAAAATCCATGATCACTAAAATTCTAAATATCCTTATCACTTTTCATATTTTTCATTAAAAATTCATAATAGTTTTCATTATAATTTATGAATTTTGTTTCAAATTTTTGTTTAGAAGATACTATCCTCTTACTTTTAACAAATCTTTGTGTATAGTCTATATTGATATTATTTAGATTATAATTAAAATAATTTTTGTAGTTATCATAATCTAAAATAATATTTTTATTTTTAAGAATCAAGTCTTTCCATTTTTTTTCTTTTTCTAAATTTTTGTTGATATTTGAATCAAGTGTATTTGTTTTGGTTACAAAATCTTTGATTGCATTTTCCAATTCTTTGTTTAAAAATTTTGTAAATATAGTATTTATATCACGGTTTGTTAAATTTTCTTGTTTTAATTGTTGAAGCATTAAATGTACTATATTTGTTTTGTAAATAGAGAATGTTGTTTTTTTATCTAAAAGTAATAAAAGTTCATCATATAATTTATCCATTGAGTTATTAATTTTATCAGTTATTAGATTATTCAATATATTTTTTTGAGAAGAATCAAGGTTGTTATCAAATTTAATATTGTAAATCAATGATCCTCTGTTATTTTTAATTAAATTTTCTATTATAGTTTCTTCATCAATATTTTTTTTGTATTCTAAAAATATAAATGTTTTTTGATATAATAATAATCTTAAAATTTCTAGTATTTTATGTTCTTCACCAAAATATAATTGATCTATAATGTTTTTATAATAGTTATCAAGTTTTTCTAATAAATTTTCATTATAATCATTTATATTTTTTAATTCGTTAAAAAATAATAAATATTTTTGTTTGTTATTTAATAAATCAAATAAATTATTTTTTAAATCATTTGGAAGATATGATTTAATTTTTTTGGTATCGAATTTATTATAATCATAATCATCAACTATTTTTTTTATATCATTAACTATATTTTCATATTCTAAAACATAGTTATATCTGATTGTTATTAGTCTGTAAAGTTCTTTTTTATTTGCTAAACTTAAACATTTATCATCTTCGATTTCAGAATATAGTTTTTCACCAGATTTTAGATTTTCAGATATTTTTTCTACATTAATTATTTTTTTTATATTATCCAATATTTTGTTTAATTCATTTAATTTATTGTTTTTTTTATTTTCTAATTTTTTTTCCAAATATTTAGGATAGTTGATATCATTTAATTGTTTCTCTATAAAATTTTTATCTTTTAAAGTTTTTATAATACATTCTGTTTCTATTAGAATGATTATATTATCAAATGTATTTAAATATTCTAATTGTTTTTTACGTATATTTTGAATAATATGATATTTGGGGTTTAATTTTTCCTTGTTGTCATTTATTATTTTATCATAATAATTATTATCTAAAAGTTTATTTTTATCATCAAATTCTTGTGTTATTTGTTTTTTTAAAATGTCAAATATTCCATTATTGTTTATAACATCAGTATTTTCTTTTATTATATTATTATTAATTATATCATTATATATTTGATTTATTATATGAGGTATACGATAATAGTTTGTATCCAAATTTTCATAATTATAATAAAACATGTTATTAATGATACAATTAAATGGTATTCTATCAAAACTAGATTGTCTTAAACAAATATGTGAAACCATATTTTAAATTTCGATATTTTGAATATTATTATTATTATTATTATTATTATTATTATTATTATTATTAATTAAAAAAGTTATTATTGGTATTAATAGTTTTATTATAGTACTATCATGTAAAACAAAATAAATGATTTGTATTTTTAAGTCATGTTTTTTTTGAAAAATGTTATTTATAGTATTGTTTTTATGATTATTATCTTTTAGTAGATTATTTATCTGTTTGTTATTTTTTATATTATATATTTTATTTTCTAAAGTATTTTTATTTGATATTTTATTTGATATTTGTTTATTTTTTAAATTGACTTTATTAAATGTATTTGCAATAGAATTAAAGAATATATTGAATTCTCTAATGTTATTTTTTTTCATTTTTATTTTATAATTTTCATATGAAGAATATTCAATAGGTTCAAAATAAGAATAACAAATATATTCTTCATTGGTAATATATATTAAATTTAAAAACAATAATGTGAAAATAATTTTATTTTTTTTATAAGATAGTAAAAAAATCATTTTTCATGAAATCCGATACCTGACGTATAAGTAATTATATCTAATTCTGAAATACAAAATTCACAAAATAAATATTTATGATAATTTTTGAGTGTGATGTTAAATAATTGCTTCATCATTCTATCACAATTTTCACATCTAAACATAGTCGGAAATCCATCTTTATCTAAATAATTTTTATTATAATTAAATTTACTACTTTGAATTGATTTTTTTGTTTTGTCAATTGTTTTAGATCCACTAATTATTATTGAATAATCTTTTTGTATTTCACCATCAACAATTGTTCTAAGAATATCAATATTCATTATATCATAGAACCTAAACCATTTTACTGCTGTTACAAAATTTTCTTTTTCATTTCCTTTATATTTTATTTTTTCAATATCAATTTTTTCTAATATAACATTTTTTACAATTCCTTTGATTTCATTAATAATGATTTGTTTTTTATCATCAGAAATGTTTTCATTTTTTTTAGATGGGAGATTCCATACCTTTTCTATTAATGAATTTTTAGATTCTATATAGATTTTTTGTATATGATTTATATCGATAATTTTTAACTTTGTTTTGATGATTAACAATTGTATATTTTTCATATTATCTAAATCTAATTCAGGTGGTGGTAATTTGCCGTCAATATGTAAAGCCCATAGGTTTTTATCTTTTACGTCTGGGTCTGGTAAATTATCATATGTTGGACAGATAATATTAGCAGAACTTGGTTTAGGATTTCCCTTTACACCAACCATAACTGCCTCGACAGGTCGATTTTTTTTATATGGAAGTGCAATAGAAGCCCAAAGAAAATTTTGATATTTGTTATCACTAACACTTTTTGTAAATGGATATCCTAATGAATTTAATTTTTTCATTGGTTCTTCACTTGCCGAAAGCATTATTCCATTGATTATATGAAATACTATATCATCACTTGGTATTAATTCTTCTAATTGTTGTGTAGTTAAGAAAGCTTTTCCTTTTCTGAGACGACCAACTTGACCTATTTGTTGAACCATACTAGCAACTGATAAGAAACGAATATCATTATTATCATAAATCCATCGTTCAGCACCAGAACCTTTTCCTAGTTTTTGTAATTGTGTTTCACCAGTTAATATAACATTATCAACATCTGGACTAAATCCCATTTCATGATTAATATTTGCTATGAATAAAGAACCTAATGGCATTCCTTCGGTTATACCAGATACAGCAGATGAGTTTGTACTATCAAATATCACATATGGAACATCACTTTCTTCTAACAATTTAAATTGTTTATGTGTTAAACCAGATTTTAATAATGGTTCAGCATCAATATCTTCTTCACCATTTATTTTTCTAGGATATTCATTTGTTGTTGTTCTAAAAAATATTTGTGTTTTTTCATTTTCCCAGTTTGTTTGATTACTAAATTTATTTATTGAATATACTTCTCTAGGTTTTGATGTTGATATTGAAAAATTTTTTTTAGGAAAAGTAGCACTCATAAGTAAAACTTTGTAACCCATTCTGATTATTAAAGGTTGTACTACTTGATAACTTGTATTAGAAAAATAAGCTTCATCAAATATGATTATTGTATCTTCTTTATCAATTAATTTTTCTTTTATATTAATTAATATTTCGTTGAAATTATTATAATGTTTTTTGCTATCTTTCAATTCATTGATTTTTACTTTTTCACATGCTATATATCTAACCAGATGATGTAATTGTAATATTGATAAAGTTGATTTTTTAATTTCACCAGAAGTTTTTTTAGTTTTATCATTACCATCAATCCATGAAGCAAGTTCTCCATTTTTTACAGTATATGGTAATTCACCTTCTTTACCATGAATTACACATTTATATGGTATTCCATTAGAATATTGTAACCAAGTATTATGATGATTTGCAGCATCAGCAGCTAATTCTTCATTTGGTATAATTAAAACAACATGTTTTCCTGGAAAAATACATGTTAAAAGACATCTAACTAATTTAGTAGTTTTGCCACCTCCAGTTAGTATAGGCAGAATTCCAGGTCCATCAACATCAGGTATTTTACGTTTTATTTCTTTACCTCCTTTGAGTTTTATGGATACTTCTTTTATTTTAGCAAAATTATTACTATTATAACCATCATCATTTTTTAATTTTTCAGGATCGAATTCAATTAGATTAAAAACATATGGTAATAAATATGCACCAGCTAATGATTTATCAAGTTCAGATTCTTTTTTTAAAACTTCAGCACCAGTTATTAGAATTTCATTAATTTTTCCTGTAAATTTCGAATCCTTAATTTCAGCTACTCTTATTTTAGATTCTGGTTTACTAATTAAAGTATATCCTTTTAATTTATCCTGATTTGGTAAAGATTCTTCGCCTTTTAACCAACCATCAAGATTTTTTTCAGTTAAATTTTCATCACCTTTTCTGTTTAAAAAATCACCTAAAAATTTATTTAAAAATTCAGGTGTAACTTTATTTTTCCATTTTTCAAATTTCCACTCATTTGTTTTATCGATTGATTTTATTATTTTTTTATATTGATTAGGATCTAATCTATCATTATCATATTCATTATTAGGTTCATTAATCTTATATCTAAAGGTATTTCTTTTATCCTTTATTGCTTTTAAGAGATCTTGTTTTTGTGCACCATTTGGTAAAAAGGCATCATTTAAATTATTTATAGTATCATTTTCAAAATTTTCAGGTAATAATTTAAACGTGTTTGTATTTTTATTAAGAATTTTATCAAGTATATTCAATGAAATATCTAGCTCTGATTTTTTTACTTTTAAAACATTTATTTTTCTAAAATTTCGATGTTCTACACAATTGTTGATTATTTTATTATCATCTGTATTATCCCATCCATTATTTATCGCAGTTTTACATTCTGAAATTGATAAACCAGAATAATACCAATTATACTGATTTTCTATAGGAATATCATTTTCATCAAAAAATTTTAACCAATCAGTTTTTTTAATCATTTAGAAAGTTTTTATTTAATAATTAAAAAAAATACAGGAATATAAGTAATTTATATATTTTCATTTTCTAATTTATTTTTTCTAGATTCTCTGATTTTATGTAAATCTGATTTACTTTTTCCATATTTTCCAAGATATTCATCATTTAATTCTTCTATATTACGATATATATCATTATAATATTCACTTGCCAATAGATGTGGATCATCACAATTATTTATATCTACTAATAAAAGTGTATATTTCCTATTTTCCTTTTCTGCAAATTCATTTTTTAGCAATTCCAATCTTGATTCATAATTTTTGTTTAATAAAGTTATACTTCTATCATTTGTTAAATAATTTTCATTTATGGTATATATATTTTCATCAACAAATTTTTTAAGTAATTCTGGTGTTAAAAATCCATTAATATTTTTTAATATTATTTCATATATTTTATTATTTTCTTTTTCTAAAGTATTTACTCCATTCAGTTCATCTATTTTTTTCTTTATCAAATCTAAGAAAATTTCTTTTGGGGCATTTGATAATATATTATTATCAATTATCTCTTTATTCAAATTATTTAATTCGTCTTTAGTTTTTAATGTATTTATTTGATTGTTGAATTGATCATATTGTTCAGCATTTAATTTATTTAATTTTTCTTTTCTCAAGATTTCTAATTGCGCAATGTCATTTGGAAGTAAATTCGAATTAATTATTTGTTGATGTATATCATTATTATCAAGTAATATATCTGCATTAGATAATTTAATAGTATCAATTTTTTCCTTCAATTCATTAAATGTAATAGTAGGTTTAATATCATTATTAAGTTTCTTTATTCTTTCTAATCTAATATCTTCTAGGTCTTTTTTCTGTTTTTCAGTTAATGATGAATTAATGATCTTATTTTTTAATTCAGTTTCTAATTTTAGAATATCAGTTTCTTCTGATATTATTTTCTTCAATAATTCAAAGTCTTCTGAATTTCGTTTTAATTCATCTTTTTTGTTTTGTGTTGCTAATTTTAAACTATTTTTTTGATTAGTGGATAATAATTTATTGTTCGATATCATATTATCAAATTCATTCAAATCTTTTAAATTTTCAGATTCATTAATCTCATTAATGAATTTATCATTTTCTAATTTATTTTGTGCAAGATAAATTAATTTATCAGTGTTTTCTTTAGATAGGTTTGAATTCATAATTTTATCATATAGTTCATTACCAATTTCAAACAATTTTAATATATTAGGTAAATCAGTATTTTCTATTTCCTTTTTAAATTTGTTGAAAATATCAGTTTCTGGTATTTCTGGTATTTCTGGTATTTCAGGTATATCAATTCCATGTAATATTTTTAATCGCCTGTCTTCAAATTTTTTTTATCATTATTTGATAATTTCGTTGAATTGATTAATAAATATATAGGACCATCATTGTTAATATAATCTTTACGCATTTCTCTTTCATGTTTTAAATCTTGTATGAATTCATTAGTTGAAAATGGTGTATAAAGTTGGTTATTTTTTAAAGCTTCTGATATCGTTAATAACCTATCTATATATTGATACATATTTGTGTTTTTTTCTAATTTTACTAATTTATTCATGTTATCGATCCATTTATTAGCAATGAGTTTTTTTTCATCATCTGAATATTGTGCTGAATTTCAAAAAAATGGTTCATATATACCACCTTTCATGAAATTTTCAAATCTATTATTTGTTGAAAAATTGTCAATAAGAAATTCGATTTTACAATAGTCATGTAATTGTTTTTTTCGTTCTGAAATTTGATTATGTAATTCATTTATACCATCAATATCAAAATTGACTATTTTGTTAAAATATTCATTCTTGAATAAAGAATTATATATTCCATTAGTTGTTAAGCTATAACAATTTATTTCAGTATCTATCATTTTGATTAATTCAGGTATACATATATTTTTTTGTTCTTGATTACATCTAACGAGATTATTTACATATTCTGATCCTATCAATTTGTAAAAATTTTTATCTTTTGTGTTGGCATTTAATTCGTTGATTTTTTTAAATATCCAATAATTATCAATAGTATTGAGGTTTTCGGGATTTGATAGCAAATATCTCCACCAACCAAACCAATTTATTGATTGTGATTTTTTTAAAGAATCCAATCTTTTTTTCTCCAAATTAACACTTTTTTCATCACCTAATTCATTCATGATATCTTTGTTTCTTAATGAATTGTAAACAAAACCTTTATACATTAACAATTCTGTATTTTTAGTATTTTCCAAAAGATCATTAAAGAATTTTTCTTTATCAGGTAAATCTTTCCTTAATGTATTACAAATTTCTTTTCATGATGTGTGTAATAAATCTTTATTTTCATTGAGTGATTTGTTGATATTAATTATTTTTTCATATTTTCCTGATTCGCAATAATCCAAGATATTTTTTTTATCATTTTCTAATAAATCTTTAAATTCATTATAGGACATTTGTGATATATATTTTTCATTATTTTTATTTTGTTCATCAACATAATCACTATATTTATTAATCGCATTATGATATTCAGGTATTGACATAAGATCATATTTTTCAAGATAATAATCCCATATGATGTTAAAAAGACCATTGAAAGCATTTTTTTCAACATTATAATAACATGCTGAAATGTTTTTTCCAGATAAACAATTGTTAATAATTTTATTATGAGTATCATAATTTATACAATTATGACATGTTGATTCAGTATTGGTTATTATAATTGTCCATATAATTATTGTTATTGTCGTAATAAGAATCATGTTTAATAGGATTAATTGTAGCTTTGTGAAAGTATTCAATATCTTTATATGGATTTTCTCCAAATGCATTTATGTGATGATCATTTTGAAAATAATTTCCATAAGGATTTACTTTAACACATTGAAGTAGATTTTCATTGTTGTTATGTAATATACATGTATAATACTGTGAATATATACATGGTAAAAATAAAAGGAGATAAAAAAAATACATTTTATTATTGATCAGATAGATAAATTATTGAATATATGATGTATTTTTAAATGTAAAGAGTTAAAAAATAAAATATCATCATTTCTCATAACCGATAATAATAAATCAACTATTTCTAAAAAAATTCTTTTGTCTATTTTCTTAATATTATTATAATAAGATTTATTTCTTTCTTTATGTATTCCGTGTTGAATTATAGATTTCCAAGGTTTTGTATATAAAAAATTTTGATAATATACAAGATTTTTTTTAATTAATTTGATGATATGATTATTAGAATGAATATCTGTTTCGACAACTTTACAATATCTTTTTATAATCAATTTTATATTGTTTTTTATAGAATGATTAAATAAAAAAATTATGGGTTTTAATTTAACAGAATCATTTTTTCTTTTTTTAAAATTAATAAAAATCTGGTTATTTAAAATTTCTGGATTTATTTTATTTTCTATTACTATTTTTAAATTTGAATATAATAAATCAAGTTCATTTGCAAATTTATTTTTATCAGTTATGAAAAAAACATTAATTTTTTTCAAAGCTTTGATATATTTCTTAATAAGAATATCATTTTTTTCATGGATAATAATCAATTTGATATTTTCAATTATTTGTTTTCCTCTTTTTTTTATACTGTTATTTAATTCTTCAATATGCCAAGATCCTAATCTCTTATCATTTTGGATTAGATTATATAGATTACTTCCTGGTTGTAAATCTTTAAGTTTGTTTTTTTCACTAATTTTTTTTTCATAATAAGATACTATGTTTTTACAATCAAATAAAAAATCCATTTATTTTTAATAAAATAGTTATAATAAATCTATTTATATTTATATTTCAATTTCAGTACTAGGCATTGTAGGATTTTTTTCAGGTTCTTTATTTTCTATGGCTGCTTTAACAGCATCTACTAATTGTTGCATTGCAGATCTAGCAGTAAAATTAATATTTGCCATACTATCCATATTTGTATCATAAGCCATCATTGGAATTATTCTATCAACCAAAAGAAAAGGTCCAGTGTGTGTAGGAAATCTAGGTTCTTTACCAAAATAAGTTATATCATTGTTATATGAAATATTTTCTAATGGTAATCCACATTCAATTTTTTTTCTTAATATTTTTGGATTAACAGTTATAGTCAAAACCCAAATTACATTAGGTTGATATCCACTGATGTTAGTTGTATTATCTTTATCACAACAATAAATTATTATATTTTTAGATTCATCAACTTTTCTAACACCATATGGCATGCCTTGTAATTCTGATTTACCTTTACCAGTTTGTGTATGTGAATAATAAACAAAAACACTAAAATCATGCCAAAATGGTTTGTTACAACACTTAGATTGATTATTTTTCAATAATTCATTCACATCAATAGGTGTATCTACTGCAGTCATAAGTTCCCAATTTTCCTGATTTATACGTGATGCCATTTCTTTATCAGTATTATCAAATCTATATGTTCCTTTAACAAAAATATCTTCCAAACCAATATTTTCTTTAATAAAAATATCTTCTTTTTTTGCTATTAAAAAAGATAACGTGACAATAAAACTACCAGGTGGTTCATATAACATTCTATCAGTATCACTATTAGGATTTTTTTCATCACCAACTATTAATACACCAGTATTATTATTTTGTGTATTCAACACAATACTCATATCTACTTGACAACAAAATCCATGCAATCTTAATCTTTCTGCTTTAGGAGAGTCTTTTGATATTGTTTGACCAAATCTATTCAGAGTAATTAATGAATTTGTAACAATATTTTTATCTGTATAAACATTTTTTTCATATTTTATTTTACTACCATCTAACTTCACATCTTCTTCTTCTTTCACACTGGTATTAAAAAGTCCAAATGTATCAATATATGATGCATTAGGAAAAAATATAGAAGATATATTGTTAACTAATCCTGAACCAGCACTATCTGGTTTACCATCAACAACATCTTCTGGATCACAAATAATATTACATGGTAATCCAGATATATTAACAGAATTTGTTCTATAACTAGCATTTTTTATATTATGATATAATGTTACACCATCTATATCATTACCAAAAAAAGTTGTAAAAATATTATCATAATTTTTATTTTTTTTTGTTTTAGAAGAGTTATCGAAAAATTCTATACTAGTACGTTTCATTATGATTTAAAACAAGCTTTTAATTGTTTTTGTAAATAATTAAGTTGTTGTTGTTTTCCTCCTTTGGATTTTGAATTTGATTTATCTTTTATAGATTTCTTTTTATCATTTTTATCCAAATCAATTGTTGTGTTAGATGATGATTTTTCTATTTCTTTAATATCACTTTCATCGATTATTTTTCTTGTTAATAGATTTTCTATCCTTTCTCCAAGTTTAAGTAATTTTATGATTAAATTATGCTTTTCTTTTTTCATTTTATCTTCATGTTTTTTCAAAGTATCAAATCTTTTAGTTAGATATTTTTTTTCATCAATGAGTCTTGATTTATTCAAATCAACATTGATCTTATTCATATCTTTTTTATTTTTTAAGATTTCAGCATTTTTCTTTCTTAAAGAACTTAATATATTGGTTCTTTCTTCTTTATTATCATCAAGTAATATTTTTTTTTGTTGATTACTTCCTGATGATGTTGATTCATTTTTTCTTTTTTTATTATTAATTGAAGAGGATGACGTGATGGTTGATAATTTATTAATATAATCAGCAAAAGAATTAGGTTTGATGTTATTAGCCATTGGGATATTTAATTATTTCCAATATTCAATAAAAAATTTAACAAACTACTATCTAAAAATTCTATTAATTTATAATATGATTTGCTTATAGGTATTAAAAAATTTTCAAATAGATCAGAATGTTTTTTAAATTCTACAAGTGTTAAAAAAGATAGATAAATTGATAAAATAATAATTGCTATTCTAGTTATTTTAAATATACTAATTAACAAATTAGACATATAATGATCATAATATTCTTCATCTCTTTCGGAATTCATATTGTAATAATAGAATAATATTTATTGTATTTATATTTTTTTAGAAAGCGAAGAAATCAATTCATCAAGACTCAATTCTTTATCATAATAATTTTTAATTTTATTCATCGGAACACCTTGTTTTAAACAATGACCAGAAAATTGAGACCATTTATTTTTTTTATGAGATTCATATATATTTTTTATGTTTTTTTTTCTTTTATTAATTTTTCGAAATGAATTTATAAAAATTTTAATATTTTCAATGTTTTTTTCGATTTGAATTATGTCTTTTTCGATATCTTCAAGTGTTTTAGACATTTTTTTTTCAATAAAATAAAGATTGTTGTATAAGAAAAAATATATCTTTTATATTTAAATTATTTTATTTCAAAATAGTTTTTTCAAAATCAATAATAAATTTACGGAAATAACACAAATTTATTTAAAAAATATAAAAAAAATAAAGAAATTATTAATATTTTATTAAATAATTTTTTTGAAAAAAAAAGAGTAAATTATTAAAAATAATCTGTTAAATCATATTTTAATGGGATATTACTGTAAAATAAAGAACTAGAAAAAAAATTATTTTATAAAAAAAATATATATTTTTAATAAGTAAACATATTTCAAAATAAAATGAATAATAATTTAATAATAATTTTGAAAAATTTTATAGATTTTCAAAAATTCAAAATTAAATTTCAAAATTTAAAAAAAATATTTTTCTTAATTATGCGTTAAATTACTAATAAAAATTAATAAAAAAAATTAAAAACATGAAACAAATTTCAAAAATATTAATATTTTTATAATAAATAAATTTAAAATTCACAATAATTATTAAAAAAAAATAAAAAAATAAAATAAATATATGGTAAATTTATGTATTTTAATAAATTTATTTAAGAAATATTAATAAAAATGTGAATAAAATAAAAAAAAAAATACATTTGTTTTGTGTTTTTTTCAAAATTTATAATTAAATAAACAAAAAAAAAATAAAATGTTATAAATTGTTAAAAAAATATTTAAAAAAAAAAGAAAAATCAAGAAAAAAAATTAATATTTTATCTAAAAATAGTTAAATTCCATGTAAAAACAAAATATAATTATGAATAATTTATTTTTTAAATTAAAATTAATAAAATATAAATTAAAAAATCTTGAAAAAAATGTACAAATTTTGAAAAAAAATCAAGATTTTTTTTTTAATAACTGAGAACCAAAATTACTACTATATCCATTTTTTATTAATATATTTTTATAAGATTCTTGTTTAGTTATGTTATCATCTTTTATTGAAACTCGTAAATAATATTTACCATTTCTATTAATAAAATAATTGATTAATGATTAATAATAAAATAAGTATATTTAAAAATACCGACCTGTTACAAGCTGTCCATGTATATTTAGAATATTTATTATAGATTTCAATATCAAATATAAAATTTATATCTTTTATTTGTGTTTTCATTTCAAAAAATTGGCGATTGTTTATACTAACAAGTCTAATTTGATTATAACTTCTTTTTCCATTTTTACTTTTATGACCTTTAGTCCATCTACCGTGAATTTCATATGTACTAAGATCTAGATTTCCGATATATGCCATTATAAATTATTATATAAACAGCATTAAAAAAAAATAAAATAAACAAGATGAATTTATACAAATTATCTGTTACATTTTTGTTATTACAAATTATTTTTTTTGTAATATTTTCTAATGAGTGTTTAGCAGAACAACAAAAAAAAGATGAAGAAAAAAAATTATCATCATCTAGTTATGATATAACAAAAGGAGTTATAATAGGATTAACTATATCATTCATAACAAATTATTTGAATGGTGAAAGAATTTCTACGATTTTAGACAACATGACCAAGTTTGTTAAAAATAATAAAGAA